AGGAGGTCTTGTTTTGGAGATCGCGGTCCTCTCAGCCCCGGCCCCTGGCCATGCACCCCCCTCCTCTGCCCGGCGACGGTGCCGAGAAGGTCGTCGGCCCAGTGTGATCGCTGAGACTCTGGGACAGTGTGGGTCAAGCGACATGGGTCCCAGGCACCCCCTTTATCTGCAAAGGTCTGCTCTCACCTGAATTTTATCTTTCGTGATAATCTGAACGCTTTGGCTAACAGGTAAAGCCCTCGGTGGAGTCCCTTCTTCTCAGGGAGCTTAGCCAAGTCCAAGGAGTACAGACCAGAATGCTGGGAAACCCACGGACGGACGGGAGACCAGCGGCGAGCAGGCCCTTGAGATGGGCAGTGGTTCAGCTCCTGAGTCCAGGGGCAGCTGGGAGCAGCGGGGGGTTGCCTGACGCGGTCACGGCTCAGGGTCCTCCTCAAGCCCACCTGGCTGTGAGTGTGTGTGCGTGGGAGGTGGTATTACACACATAACAGGAGCCTCCTTGTGAAATAACAAGGTCTGGGGCACCTGGGGGGTGCTCAGGTCGCGATCTCGGGGTCCTGGGTTCGAGTCCCGCATCGGGCTCCCTGCTTCTCCCTCTCCCTCTGCCTGCTGCTCCCCCTGCTTGTGCTCTGTCTCTCTGTCAAATAAATATATAAAATCACACACACACACAAAAGAAAGAAATAACAGAGTCTCCTGTGTTTTTCTTTTTTTTTTTTTTTAATTTTTATTTATTTATGATAGTCACACACAGAGAGAGAGAGAGAGGCAGAGACACAGGCAGAGGGAGAAGCAGGCTCCATGCACCGGGAGCCCGATGTGGGATTTGATCCCGGGTCTCCAGGATCGCGCCCTGGGCCAAAGGCAGGCGCCAAACCGCTGCGCCACCCAGGGATCCTCCTGTGTTTTTCAAAAAAAACCATGAGCGTTCTTCAAATGAATCGTCTTTATATTGGACCTTATTAAAAGCTGAAGCTACACCACGAATACGAAACCGGGGGAACCCTTCCCAGTGTTGGTTAAATCCATTGGTCAATTCCTATTTAAAAAAAAAAAAACAACAACTGTGCTAAGGCACACCTAACATAAAGTTGACCACGTTCCCCATTTTCAAAGTGGCCAGTGGCATTTGGTCCACTCAGAAGTGTTGTGCAACCATCACCACCATCTGTTCCAGAACATTTTTCTTCACCCCAGAAAGAAGGCCCTCTACCCCCCCTGCACCTGCGCCCCAGCCACTGGCCCCCACCGATCTGCTTGCTGCCTCCAGGGATCTGGACGTTTCCTGGAAGCGGAGTCTTGCGGTCTCGGGCCAGGCTGCAGGCTGGAGGAGAGGACACCTCCCAGGGTCGTGTGCACCCCCTTTCCTGCCGTGCTTCTGCTTCCCCGTCTCCCCAGAACAGAGCTTGTCAAGTAGCGAGGACAGTCCAATAAGAGCAGTGGCCTGGGGCACAGGCTTGGTCCCTCCAAGGGCCTCCTGGACGTCCCCTGTCTAGGACATCCTCAGGTATCACACGCAGTAAAGCCAGTCTGCCCGCCCCCGCCCCCCGACCGGCTCTCACTGGACTTCGCTGGGCCTCAGGAACCTGCTGGCAGGAAGTGTCTCGCCCACTCTGGCTCTCCACGCAGTCAGGGAGGGTGGGCGGCTTTGATGGGGCGATGACACCCAGGCGGCTCACCCCCCATGGGTGTCTGGACCTCCCAGAGGACATCCTCATGGCGATGTGGTGGGGGACGTGCGTTCTGTGTCCTCCTTGTCCCCATCCCTTGATGCCCCAGGCTGGGGAGCCCCAGGAGGCGGCCGCCAGCTGATGGGGGTGGTGGGTGCAGGACAACCCTGCCGTCCCATCCGTCCGCCCCTCCGCACATTGCCCGCACGGAGCTCATCCCTGGCATCCACGGAACTTCACGTTGACCATCTTTGTCCTGTTCCTTCAATTTTGCATCACTTCTTAGGTCAAATTTATTTTAAGGCAAAATTAACTATTTATTTATTTATTTATTTATTTATTTATTTATTTATTTATTTATTTAAAAATATGTTATTTGTTTATTCATGAGAGATACACAGAGAGGCAGAGAAAATGGTCTTTGAAAAAATGATTTTGGGGGCGCCTGGAGGGCTCAGCGGTGGAGCGTCTGCCTTCGGCTTAGGGCGTGACCCTGGGGTCCCGGGATCGAGTCCCGCATCGGGCTTCCCGCAGGGAGCCTGCTCTCCCCTCTCCTGCGTCTCTGCCTCTCTCTTTGTGTCTCCCATGAATAAATAAATAAAACCTTAAATAAAGAAATGAATAAGTAAAAATAAAAACAAGATTCAACTGAGTAAATTAGAAGATCTAACTGGTTTTCTTCATCGATCCACGAACTGGGCAGCCCTCCCAACCAGCCGGGGCGGGGGAGCTCTGAGCTGTAGAGCAGGGAAGGTTCTTACAGGAAGGAGGGTGGGACGAGGAAGTTACTAGCAAAGGAAAGGATTGTTTTGGGCAAGGTCACCTTCCCTGGGGGGGAAGAGCTGGGGTCTGATCCTGCAGATTGCCTCCTCTTCCTTTGGGGGAGGGAGGAGGACCCACGGGACAGATGATCTCCTTAATGCCACCGGAAGATTCCTCACTGGCTGGTTATGACTACATTTTTTTGGGGGGAGCGGAGATTGGGACTGCAGTTAGTAGGGGTGCAGCGCTGGCCTGGTGACACGACGGGGGGGGGGGGCAGTGCTGTTCTTTTTGACAGGACCCAGGCGCTCTGTCTGCCGACTTGCCCCAGAGATTGTCACTCGGAATCCGTGTTTTCTATGATGCAGTTAAGTCAACAACGAATGATCCTGCCCTGCAGAGGGGCTTCTGTGTGTGTGTAGGGGGGTGGGGGTGGGGTTGTGTGGACTCTCTGAGCTCGCGCAGATGCAGACGTTAGTGTACATGAGGACCAGCTTCCTTGACATCTTGTCTACCCCCCGGAACATTTCTTTTTCCAGCGCCTTTCGAAGGGGTCTGTTTAAGGTCGGCGGCGCCTGGGAGGGGGTTTGTGTGATGCTCATTTCCACCTGCGTGGTATTTACCTGCGGCCCCGGGGCTTTAACATCCTGCTCCTTGGTGACAAAGATCGCCAAGCCTGCACTGCCCCAGTCCTGCCCTGGAGAAATGGGACACAGGCACCCCCGGAAATCACCTCGATCTTCTTTTTCCTGCTCCTCCGGGGAAGCCTGGGCCCACTGCTGGTCGCCAGTCCAGCCCGGCCCTGCGTTCTGAAAGGCTGGCTGCTGCTGTGACGGCCGCACAGTCGCCAGGCCGCTCGTCCCCCATCTCACCCGACACAGAAGCAGGTTAGAGGAATAATCAGGAGCACATCCGGGGCGGGATCCGTATGTGCTTAAACACACAAAATGTAGGGCTGAAGCGGGACCTCTTTCTCCCGCAGGGACAGGGGCCCATCAGCCACCTTCTTTCTGTCACCTGGGGAAGAGCTCCCAGGGTGCAGGCCAGGCTGCTTCCCTCCCCGGAGCTGTCTTCACCTTTGTGGCCCTCCTGACCCGGGGTGTGGGGGGGTGGGGGTCAGATTGCCAGATGGGGAAGCAGAGCTGGGACACGGTAGCCGCAGGTGCCAGCCCCCTGCTCCGAGGGCTCCTCCCTCCCCTGCTCAGCCCCCCAGGTCCCTGAGAGGGCGCTGGACCCGTCCAGGAAGCAGTGCACCGAGAGAACGGGGGTGGTGGCCCCAGGGGCACATAGGGACAGCTACACTTGGCACTTATGGTGGGAGGGGCCGCGATGACTGGGTCAGAATCCACGGAAATGTCAGACATCGCAGTCAATCCTCTGAAGACTTGCTCTCTGATTCTGCAGGTTCCTGGTGCAGACTTGCTGCTCCCCCCGCCACCCCCCGCCCCGGGGTGGCACGAAGGATCCCGCAGGGAACACTAGGGGGTTCCAGGTCTGTCCCCGCCATCCTCGGGCCACATTATCCCTGGTGAGTTACTGATGGCGGGAATCACTGTAAGGCGGCGGGCCAGCAGAAGTCATTCATGTTTTCCTCTTTTAATCACTGAATTGGCTATTTCCACACTTGAGTATTTTTCCAGGGCAGCAAAATCATCCACTTTGTCTTCTTGGATTATTTGGTGCGCCACCGAAATGGACAGCAGTCCTCCGTCATGAGCACATGGATGACGTCATAGGCGAACAGCTGCTCCCGGGGAGGGTTGGGAAGCCCTTTGATGGTGTTTTCCTTTAACTCTCAAAGAGGCAAACTATCCCTCTAGAAATTTATTGGATTCTATCCTTATGCCCAGAGAGGCTTAAACATAACACACACACACAGTGCACAAAGAGAAAACTTGGTTACACTCGCAGGAAGAGACATCCCGAGTCCCACATGGGGCGTCTGAGCCGTGAGCGCGCCCTTCTCTAGCCGAGCCATCCCCTAGGTGAAGCCCATGTTCTTCCAAAGTCAGCACTGGGAATAGGGGAATCAATGGGACTGTAGAGGTGGATCTAGCACATTCGGCGAGGAGCTAGGAGCAGCACCCCTTTGTGAGCCCCAGGGGACGGAGCCCAGCCAGAAGGGCCCATGGCAGCCCCCCTCCCCCGCTGGGGCCTTTGATGCAGGCAGGCCACAGCAAAGTCCCGACAAGGGCGTGGGTAGGCATCTGTCTCCGGCGCCTTCATCTCTGCCTCCCCAGCTGGCCCTCTTGCAGGGCCCCCACCGCCCCGAGGAACCCCTCGAAGCGGGCATCTGTAGGGCAGACCTATCTGACTCTCCAACAGCATGATCTCACCTGTCAGGGGACAGGTGTGCTACCAGCATCCTTCTGAGTGAAGGAGAACATGCATTTTAGGCACCTGCCTCCTTGGAAGGACCTCTTCAGCATAGAGAATAGGAAAAAGAAAAATACAAGGTTAGCTATTTCATTCCGAAGTTAGGTGCCAGCCTTGGGTGCCAGCAGAATTGCCCTATCACCTCCCTTTTGGGCAGCCACGCAGGAGGCTTCCCCGAACCACCTGGCCGGGATGGAGCCTGCCATCCGGGGCGGCTTCCTCCATCTGCCCGGCGTGGGCGCGGTGCTGCAGGACGGCATCATTAGGGTGGCCCAGGCCAGGCTCCTGGCAGGCTGGCTGGTCCCCAGCAGGCTGCCAAGCCCTGCCTCAGACCCAAGGCCTCCCCTCCCTGCATGGCGGCATGACTCAGGGCCCTGGACGGGCCATCACCAGGTGGGATTCGAGGGCACATCCTGCTGACAGGTTGGTTGGGAGGTGGGGAGCCTGGAGCTTGGGGCTGGGGGGATGGAGATGGCCCCTTGGGCCCTCCTTGGCGGGCGTCTGCGGGACGGTGATCTGATTCCCCGGCCACTGCAGCAGCCACTGGGACAGGACCCCATGTCTGCCCCAGAAAGGGCCTGGGATGGAGCAGAGGCTCCACAGAAGTTCCTCGAGTGAACCCTGAGTGAACTTCCTCCCCCTGTGGGTCTGAAAGAGTCCGCGTCTCCCGGGCCGCAGAACACAAAAGGCAATTCATCTTCTTGGGACAGATCTTTGCCCACGCACTTGAGAAACGGGACCCCTTCCTTTCCAGCCTCTAACGGTTTTCTCTTTTGAGGGGAATTTGTTTGCTTTATAAGAGGTGGTGGAAACAACACGGGCTTTGGGGCCGATGCCCCCTGGGGTCAGACTCTGGCCCTGCCACTTCCTTCCTGTGTGGCCTCGGACACGTGACTCAGCCTCTGAACTCAGGCCCCTCACTCTGAAAACGGGGTGATGCCATCCTCTGTGTGGTGCCCTGAAGACGAAGTGAGGCCCTCCCGCCGCCGAGCACCTGCTGGCACCCAGCCTGCCAGGTGCCCGACCCGCGCCACAGGGAGGCATGTGGCACGGCCCCACCCCCAGGGCTGGCCGCCCCTCAGCGTCACTCCTGCTGGGGGGGGGGCACCCGGCCCCGCAACGGGGACAGGAAACCAGCCGGGAGCTCACCTATTGTGGAAATGACAAACGCCCTGTGATCGTTGCCAAGGAGATGCTCAAATGTCCCCACGGACCCCACTGCCCAGGGCACAGAGCCAAGTCTTAAAAGCATTTTGCCGAGAGGGAATTCTCGGAATGTCTCCCCTGGAGTGCCGCACATTTGTCATCCCGGTTGTCATCCAACCAAGTCCAGGGCCCTCGCCCCAGCCGGCCACCACGCCCCAGGCTGCGGGCAATCGGGCAATCGGAGCACAACGTGATGACTCAAGCAATACCAGTAACCACGCAAAGTGAAGGAGGAGCTGCTCCACCAGGTCAGAGACAAACGATAAACGTTCGGAACCTCCTCCTTTCCTCTTCTACAAATTTAAGATAATTACTGGGAAATAAGCGTTGGAAGTATCTATCCCGATTTTTGTCGTTGTTAAGCATTCTTAAAAATCCAGAAGAAGAGCTGGCTCAGTGGTGACGAACAACTTCTAGCATTAATATGTTTGTTTAGAGATAAGAAACCTAGGACACTCGACATATGTATGGATTTTTAATTTAATTTTATTTTATTTTTGTATGGATTTTTAAAAACATTAATGTCGTCACGGCACGTCCTGGGTTGGTAGGGAGAGACGTCGAAATACTTGCATCCTGGTTGCACGGATGAGGCACCCGGAGATTGCGTGACTCGGTGGGATCACCCAGCAAGCAATGGTGAAGCACTGAGAAGCATTTTGGAAATGATTTTTACATGAAAATAAAACCCAGAACAGTGGAGCGTCCTGAGCTCTCACAACCAGTTATTATAGAACATTCCGAAGAGAAGTTTGGAAATGCAGCTTTTGCTGTTTCTTCCCTGCCGCCGTGGGACTCACAGGGTCCGAGGTTCAGAGCCATGCCTTCTAGGGAATTCCAGGCAGGCTGGCAGTGTGAGCTCCCACTGTTCCCATGGGCCCCACCCCTGCACTGAGACCCCCCCCACCCCCCACCTGCTCACAGAAGCTCAATTCAAAGCAGCGTGGTTCCCTTTTGGGAGTGGTTAAAAACAGCAAGCAGCTGCCGTGAGGTGAGCGTGTTGGAACCCACCATATCTTCGACGGTTTGGTGGCCAGGAGAGTCCTTTCTGTGCAGAGCAGCGGTCTGGCTCCCTGGGCAGAAGGGATTTGGGGTGCAGGAGGGGGCCCTGTGCTGGGAGCAGGGAGTGTCACCAGCTGGGGAGGTGAAGGACCCAGGTCCTCCGAGCCGGGGATGAACGGGCCTGGGCCTAAGGAGCAGTGGCTGGGAGCAGAAGCAGAAGGAGCCTGGTCTTTTCCTAGATTCACAAGATGTTTCAGTTTCTTTTCTTTAAAAAAGATTTTATTTATTTATTCATGAGAGACCCAGAGAGAGAGAGAGGCAGAGACACAGACAGAGGGAGAAGCAGGCTCCCTGCGGGGAGCCCGAAGGGGGACTCGATCCTGGGACTCCAGGGTCACGCCCTGGGCTGAAGGCGGCGCTAAACCGCTGAGCCACCTGGGCGCCCCGATGTTCCAGTTTGCATCACACGTTCTGGCCCTCCCGCCTTTTCCTATGAGCCCAGGGCCATGCCTTGTTTTCCCTCATTTTGCTTCTCCGCAGAAGTAATTCAGTTTACATTCCCTTTGTAAGCACTTACAGCAGCGTGACGAATTCCAAGCCAGGGGAGGTGCTTACTTTACAGTTGGTTACAAGCCTCTAACTGAGACAGTGGGGGAGTGTGCCTCGGAGACACGGCGCTGGAGGAATGAGACTGGTTCCACCAGTCACACGGGACGGGCTATCTGGTGACCACCGACGCAGGGCCACAGCCAGCGCGCTCGAGCACATGTGTCACCTCGCTGGAATGAGGCGATGGGGAGCTCCAGGCATCTAGCTATCCCTGTCATGCTGGCAAGGGGGCAGCGGTACTCGAGTTACTCAGCTGCAGGGTTCTGGCTGCAGAGCCGACAAGAATCAGGCGTTTCCTCCAAATAAGAAGAGATTTCTGAGAAGCAGGAGAGCTCTTCCCCTCACCCCCCCAGGAGCCTGTGGGCAGAATGGGGAGCTAGTGTTGAATGGCCAGGCAGCTCGCAGAAAGCTCAGAGGATCATTCTGCTTCCACTTTCTTTTTTTTTTTAAGATTTTATTTATTTATTATTATTCATGAGAGACATAGAATGAGAGAGGGGGGGGGGCAGAGACACAGGCAGAGGGAGAAGCAGGCTCCATGCAGGGAGCCCGACGTGGGACTCAATCCGGGGTCTCCAGGATCACGTCCTGGGCTGAAGGCAGGTGCTAAACCGCTGAGCCACCCAGGGATCCCCCTGCTTCCACTTTCTAATCTCAGACCTGCCAAGGGAGCCTTATAGCCTCATTCCCCCTCGCCCCCCCCAACCCTGATCCAGCTCACCTGGGCACTCCCTGCCAGCTTCCTGTTCGGTTTCCCACAAGGGCTCTCAGACTGGCTGGCCTCCTAATCCCTTCCTCTTTTTCAAAGAAAGTCAGGCCCCTTGGGTATAAACTCCTTTGTCCTGCCACTCCCTGCCCACCACTTGGGACTCGCCTTCCTCTCTCCCTGACCTCCAACCTCTAAGCAAGAAGTATCTCCTGTGCGGGCGCTAGGCCTAGTTTAAACCCCTTTTCTTGCGTCCTCGGGGTCACCTTCTAGCTGGCCTCTCTGCCCCCTTCTACTTCCTTCCGACCTGGTCTCCACCGTCTGCTGGGAGTGATATTTGTAAAATCCCATTTGTTCACTCTGTGTTTAGAACAGCTTGTTGCCTCTCCCTTTCCATGGCATGATCCACGATGCATAATTTGGGGGCTCCAGGTGCAGCTTCTGCTCGCCTCCTGACTGCCTCCAGCTCTCACACCCCCTTGCCCTCTCTGGCTTGGGAATACACACACAGGCATGCTTCCTCACATGCCCTTGTACTGACCTCCCCCCTTCCAGGAGGCACCTCACCCCTGTCTTTAACACTTGGTATCCAGCGCAGGTGCATCCCACCATCTGTGTTTCTCTTTGCTCTACTGTTTCCGGGGCTTTTGCCTAATAAGTGTCAAAAGTGGCATTAGCCTGCGAACCGGATGGAGGTTCCCAATCCTGGATCTGCCAAACCAGCGGGCGTCCTTAGCAAACTCCCCCACTGGGGCCAGCTTCTAAGGCTTCTCTCTGCCAGCACCGTGGCAGGGAGGGGTCGAGGGGGGACAAGGGACGACCCCCCCCCCCCCCCGCTGCCACAGCAGAGCCAGAACCCCCACTGATGTCGCCAGGCGGGCTGGAGCCCCGGGGAACGCCAGGTGAGAGGAGGCCGAGGCCGAGCGCTTGGGCGCACCCAACCCAACTCAAGGTCAGGTCCTCCTCGTCCTGGGAGCTGCGGAACATACCTGCGCTTCACTAGGTTGTGACTCAGGCCTGTCATCTGGCCTGGGAGGCTCCCGGGCTAGCGTTCCGCGGCCGTTCCTACCATTGGGGGCTGAGCGTGCACGGCGGCGAGGAGCGCAGGGGCAGGTCGCGCACGCACCCTTGCACACTCCCCTGCCAAGTTGGGGCGTTTCCCGGAGCCCCCCCCACGTTGGGCGTGGGCGTGCAGCCCAGGGGCGAGGCTCCAGGCCCCGCAGACTTCGGGGTGCGAGTTGTGGGTTCCTAGGGACTTTCCAAGTGTGTGAAAAGCAGGCAGTGTCTGGCCGCGGGGCAGAGGGTGCTCCTAGAAACCACCCTTGCGCGCGCGCCCAGGCGCGCCCCCCCATGCGCGCGCGGGAGCCCAGCCCGCCCGGCCCAGCGCAGCCCTGGGGTCGGGCTAAGCGGAAAGCCCCGCCCCCCCCGCCCCGCGGCCCCGGTCACCGTCACCCGAGGCCCGAGCGGCGCGCGCGCACGTGGAGGGGCGCGGAGAGGGGGGCGGGGAGGCGCGCGCGGGGCCGCGGGGCCTTTAAGGGGCCGGGCGGGGGGAGGGGGCCCCGGGCGCAGGGGCGGTGCTGGCCCCGCAGGCCCCGCCCCCGGCCCGCCCCGGCCCGAGCCTCCTCCGGCCACTGCTGGGCCGCGGGCGGGACGCCCGGGGCGGCGCGCGGAGGAGGAAGCGCGCCCTCCGCGGCCCGGGACCTGCCCAGACGCCGGGCGGGCCCGCCGAGCGCCGCGGCCCCATTTCCCAGGTGTGCGGGGCCGGGGCGCATCCCGAGCCGCGCGGCTCCTCCCGCTCGGCCCCCACCCCGCCCCGGGGGCCCCGCCGCGCCCCCTCCACGCCCCCCGCGAGCCCCGCCGGCCGCGCGCTCATGCCCTGAGCTCGCCGCCCGCGGGCTCTGCGCCCCGGCCGGGGCCGCCCTGGCAACTTGGGGCGAGGCGCGCGGGCGATGCGCCATCGCCATGTCCCGCCTGAGCTCGTGGCTCGGTGAGGTCCAGTGGCTGGTCTTGGTGTCGCTCTTCGTCGCGGCCCTGGGCACCGTGGGCCTGTACCTGGCGCAGTGGGCGCGGGCCAGGGCGCGACCCCGGGCCCCGCGGCGGGCTGCAGAGCCTGGCGAGGGCCGGCGCCCCGAGGGCGACGCGCTGCTCGCCTGGATCCTGACGCTGCACAGCTGGAGGAGCCAGTGGCAGGCCGCCTGGGTGACCGCCCTGAATGATGAGGCCAGACGGAAAGGGGTGAGTGTCTGCGCGGGCGGTGGCGCGGCGCGCGTCCCCCGAAGCCCCGCCGCGGCCCCGCACCGGAGGAAGCCAGCCTCCCCCGCGGCAGAGCATTCCTGAAAGTTAGGAGGCAGACCCAGGAGCGCGGGGCGGGGGTGGGGGCGGGGGGGACCCTGATGGGGAGCCGAGACAAAGCCCTGGGGCGTGAGTCCCCACCGGTCAGGTGCGCCAGGCTGGGCGCCCCCCCCCCGCCCCCTGCCCCGAGCGCGCGCCCACCCTGGAGGGACTCTCCAGAGGGGCCCCCTGCCCTTCCTTGGAGTCCCAGGTGGGCTCCGGCACCCGCTGGATGCTCACTGCTTTCGCACCTGGCAGATGAATAACTGTGACCCAAATATGACTCCGTCTGCAGACATGAATTTCTTTTTTCCGAGCACGTCTTTCCAAAAGGTGTCCAAGAGGTGTCCAAGAGGTTTCCAAAAGGTTAGCGCCCTTTGGCTTGCAGAGGGAGTTGGCCGCGTGTTGAGGGCCAGCCACTTGCCAGACATGGTCCTGGGGAACTTGCAGTGCCTGTATCTCTTCTTTAGACCCTCACGGCTCCTGGGACGGTCGTGTCGCCCGCATTTTACAGGCGGGGAAACTGAGGCCCGCACAGGTGAGGTGACCTGCCCAAGGTCACACGGCCTGTGGGGAGCAGAGCCGGGAGTTGAACTCGGCTCCCTCCCGCCTCAAAGCTCGGGGCTTACTGCTTCGCTCTGGGCCAGGCTCTCCAGAGGTGGTGTTTCCCCCGTGGTTATTTCCTTGCTGACTTATTTTTACTTTTAAGGCGTCTTCGTTTCCCCGACAGGCTGCTGCCGTCTACTATTTCGAGGCTTTCCCGAAGAGGAATTAGGGCCTGGTGTGTTTGGGGAAGTGCCTCCCAGCCTCTGCTCATTCATTACCCGTGCTTTCGCGTTCCTACACCTGCTTGGGAAGCCTGTGGCCATTCGCTTTAAAAATAGTGAGGGCTTCGGGTCTGGATCGCTCACCCTCTAAAATATTTCCACAGCGGGGCCCGCTGGCTGGTCTTTGCGCCATGGCCCTGACTCACACGGCCATGGCTTTTTTTTTTTTTTTTTTTTTTAAGATTTATTTATTTATTTATGATAGAGAGAGACACACACAGGAGGAGGGAGAAGCAGGCTCCATGCCAGGAGCCCGACGCGGGACTCGATCCCGGGACTCCAGGATCATGCCTTGGGCCAAAGGCAGGCGCTAAACCGCTGAGCCACCCAGGGATCCCTGGCCATGGCTTTTTAAAAAAACAATAATCTTTGAGCGTAGATGAGTATAAATTCATCAACTCAAAAGACCATGTTCTGAACTATTGAAAAAATTATACTGTACCTTTTAGATGAAAAAAGCCTTCAAGGTCAGTTGGCTCCGTGTGTCTGGATGGCTAGAATCTGTGCCCTGCTGTCCCGAGCTGGACTCGTCCTATTCAGGGGAACTGCCCTGTCTCTTCCTCTCTCCTGTCTCTTAAGCAGACTCTGCACCCGACATGGGGCTTGAACTCACAACCTTGAGATCAAAAATCACATGCCCTACTGACTGAGCCAGCCAGGTGCCCCGGAACCACCCCATCTCTTGTGGGAGACCTAAAGCCACATGTGTGAGCAAACACAGATTTTTTTTAAAAAGATTTTATTTATTCATGAGAGACCCAGAGAGAGAGGCAGGGACACAGGCAGAGGGAGAAGCAGGCTCCCTGTGGGAAGCCTGATGCAGGACTCGATCCCAGGACCCCGGGGTCACTCCCTGGGCTGAAGGCAGATGCTCAACCACGGAGCCACCCAAGTGCCTGCAAACACAGATTTGTTTCCCCAGGAAGCTGTTGTCTTTAACCCCCTAACTGACCTGGCATCACAGGCCTGGGCTCTGTGGTGGAGTTTACTTTGGGCTGGTTGTGTGAACAGGTGGGAGCCTTGTCCCAGGTCTCCCTGGAATTTGAGCACGTGTGGGCTGAATGATGAGAACCCTTCACTTCTCACCGTGGGCCTCCTGATGGAGCTTCTGGTGCGGAGGCCTGACCCTGCCTCCTGCAGATTTGGGATAGTCCTGCTTAAATCGTGTTGCTTCGTGTCCTGACGTTTCTCGTTTGGCTTCGGGAAATAGGATATGATGCTTCCAGATTACCCACGTGCCTGGAGTGTTGAGGAAGAAAGGAGGAGCGCTCTGCTCTGGAATTTGTCTTTGGCCAGTCTGGTAAAGCGGAGAACACCAAAAAAAAAAAAAAAAAAGCCCTGAGGGTTTTGCCCAAATCACCTGCATTTTTGCGTGGGAGCTGGAGGGGCTCTGTGTTCTGGGAGGCCAAGATTCGGCTTGTCTGCTCTCTGTCCTCCACCTGCTACTGGCCATGCACTGCAGACAGAGCCTTAGAAGTCAGTTTTTCCAGGCTCCTGCCTGGAAGTGACAGGCACCGAGCTCAAGACGAAATTGTGCAGAGTCTTCTCTGGTGGTTTTGCGAAGACGTGGGTTGGTTGTGATTGTGTTGTCAGGGGTGGATTGGTTTTGTGTGTGTGTGTGTGTGTGTGTGGTGTCCCTCTGCCCTCCCCGATGCCTGCAAGTAAGTGTTGCTTGATTTGAATCCAAATGACAGGCTTGGCAGACAGATAGGATCTGGGTAAGTGACTTGTCATACCCTGCCCTGTCTCGGGCCACCTCTCTTGCTGCATAGACGGCAGCCTGGGGGAGCAGGAACTGGTGTTGCCGGAGTGGGTGTCCTGACCTGCCTGCGGGAGTTTCTCCGAGTCCTCCTCCGGCTCCATTCCCACTAATCCCCGAATAGGGTTGACACTCCCAGCCCACTGGCCTCTGGAGAGCAACAGCTTAGTGGCGCTCTTCCGCCCCTGCCTGCCGAGGGAGACCACTTCTCGACCCGTCCCTGGGGCTTGAGGACGCGCTGGATGGGAGTTAATCGAGCCTGGCACCTTCCACGCAGATGGGATTCCCTGTGGATGGAGGCAGGAGCTCCTCCCAATTGAAGCTCTGCTCCAGTTTTGAATTTTAAGCCTGGAAAGAGGGGGACGCCTGGGTGGCTCAGCGGTTGAGCATCTGCCTTTGGCTCAGGGCATGGTCCCGGGGTCCTGGGATCGAGTCCTCGCAGGGAGCCTGCTTCTCCCTCTGCCTGTGTCTCTGCCTCTCTGTGTGTCTCTCATGAATGAATGGATGAAATCTTAAAAAAAAAAAAAAAAAAAAGACTGGAAGGGACCCTAAACCCGGGTAGCAGAGCACCTCCTGTCTGCTGCGGAGGCTTGCCCGGGCTGCCCTGGCTCCTGGGCAGGGGTCCGTGTGGTCCGCCCTCATCCGTTGTCACATTCTGCCATGGGCAGCAAGTTCGACTTGGCGACCCAAATGCTCCCTTAATTGAGGCACAGATGCAAAGGGTGAAAGGGCGATGTTGTTTCACCTGCTGCCCTAACCATGGGGCTTGTATCTCTAGGCAGCCGAGGGCCGATGGGGAACCTGCGGCCTCCCTCTCCTTGCACCCTGGACCACCAGCGACCGTGGCAGATGGGCCCCTGGCATTCCAGCCCTCGCTCCAGAAGCATTTGTAAATCAGGCAGGATGGTGACTTGGGGGGGACACGGGGGCAAGCGCTCGCTGCTGCGCCAGCTGGTCTGACAGATGCCAGGTGCCTAGGGAGCACAGCCGAGCTGCCCCGAGAGCTTCGAGAAAGTCTGCGTGCCCCCACCCACCCCCAGTGCAGACGCCGTAGGTTTCCACAGGCTCCCCAGGTCGCTTCTCCCCAGTGAGGAGCCCGCAGAGGCACACCTGTCCCTGCGCCAGCCGCCGGTCAGGCCCCCCCCCCCCCCCCCCCCCCCCCGGCGACACGTGTCCTCTCTGGTGCCGCCAACACCGGATTCCCGTTGATCTGGTGACAGTTCAGTCACGGAGCACAGGAAGCCGGCTCAGTCACCAGACTGGAAACTAATACCCCGTTATCCAAAGGCAGCAGCAGAGGTTCTCCCTCCAGACCCCCTGTGCGCCTGTGAATGTTCACAGGGTGGTTTGTGGCGCTCATCAGGGACCCCAGCCGTGGTGGTGCGCACCCCCAACCCCCCCCCCCCAGGGGCTCTCGAAGCCAGGGTGGCCCTGCCTCCCAAGGCTGCTGCTGTTGCCGCCGCTGGACCACACGTGGGGAGCAGTGGTTCCCGAGCGAGGGCCATGTCCTGTGGCTGGTGTTGTGGACTTGTCTAGAAACGGGCCCGCCCAGCTTGGCTGAGGGCCCTGAGTTAGGAGGGTCACCCAAGCCGTTTGTTGCTTTAGTCGTTTGCTGAGGATTTTTCTTTTTTTTTTTCCGGAAGAATGTTCTCCATGCAAACGACCGAGACTGTGGGACAATTTGTGGTCTTTGTGTTATCTAAAAAAATAAAAAAGACGCCGCCGCGTGAACTTACAACGTGTTATTAATAGCTCTGACTCGTATATGAGCTTTGACATTTTAAAAAGTAAACAAAGCGACAGGACTTTACAGCTTTCCGATTTCCCCACGAGCTTTGAGTGGCGCTCACAAAAATCTGAACTCCTTGAGCGGCGTCTGTGGCCACAGCGTAGGAGGCCAGCTGGGCTGGGGAGACCGTGAAGGTGACTTTGGGCCTGGGCCATGGACCTAACCCGTCGCTGTTGGGCTGCTCAGACATCCGGGGTTCTCTCCCGTGTGGGGCCCTCCCATGGGTCGTTGCTTTCCTCTTGAGCACTTCATCAACCTTTCTCCTTCTTGAACTTGTGTGAACCTGCAGGTCTCGGGGACGCTCAGGTCCCCGATCCGATCCTCCCCTTCCGAGAGGATGCTGTCCCCGCCCCCACCCAGGCCACCTGCTCTTGTCCCCTGCACCCTGTGAGCTCCGGGGATGGTGAGCCAGCCCGGAGCCTTGTGTGTGCAGACACAGCCACCTCGGTGCCCTGCACAAGGCTGGCTCCAGGGCTGGCTGGGAGCGGGTGGTGGCTGCGGGTGGGGGTCGATGAATGACAGGCCCCAG